TCAGATCAACGGAGTTGATAGTGATGCGTTGTCAACGATATTTATGTCATATTATGGTAAATTAATAATCAAGTAGGCATTATATATTTTCTTTGAGAATACTTGTTTAATATTGATTCGATTTTCCCGTTATACGTTTTTCCCGGTTTTCTTATGTTTTTCCTGATTTTTGCTGGGAAAATTTCTGAGAAAATCGAAAAAAGACCTCCTTTAAAGTACCACCACAAGGAAATTTTATTTCAGAAAAGGGTCTACATCGTATGCATTGGAGTAATCTTTCTGGTAGAAAAATTATTCACATAAAAAAATTAAATAAATAATAATAATAATAAATAAACGTTTTTGTAAAACCAATACATTCTTTGCTTCACTCAGAATCTAAGAGTATTTTTTTAAATTTTTTTTCAGAAACTAGAATATTCTTTAATTGTCTTGAGACATTATATGTTTATTTTTCATAATCAATGTTATAACACCAGATTTTCCTGGTAATAAATTTATTTAAGTTTGTTCAACACTTATTTTATAAATAAACATCACTATTTATAGGTGTATTCGATTAATTTTTAAAATAGTTGAACTATTAATAATTTCACATTAAAATTCAACTTAATTTAAAAATTGTATTATTTACTTTCTTAAAATTAATATGTGAAGGGGATCAGTTATTTTAGCCAAAACATAGTCTTTTGCATCCGCGGAAATTATGGGAGTGGGCTTATCCTCCAAAAAGCCCACCAAGTCCTTCAAAAAGTTCTTGCAAACATATAAAAATGTTATAGTTTTATTTTCATATAATATATTCTTAAAAAACAAAAATATAACACATTTTTTATATTATAAATTTATTTATATTAAAAATATAAAACATAATACTTAATACAAAAATTAAAATTATAAGTTGGAAATAAAGTTTGGAATTATAAGTTGAAATTATAAATTATTTTAGCCACTGTCCTAGTATTTTAATTTATATTGTCGTTAGTTATCGTCTGTCGAATAATTATTGTTGTTGACTGTTGATTTATTTTTATTATTTTTTTTTTTTTTCGGAATACTTGTATAAAATTAAATACCTAAAATTATATTAATTTGGAAATACCAATACTGTTAATTGTCGAAGCAATTATTGTACTGATTGCCGCACTACCACAGTGGCAAAAAATACGTGATTGGATTGAAGTATGGCCTTTAGGTCAGAGAAAAGATTATCGATTTTTCCATTTACAGAACATTTTTAGTCTATACTCTTTTATATTTCGTTATGAAATTATATATTTGTAGGTATCTATTATTATTTGTGAAAACATGATTTTCGGTTTTTTATGTACCTATTTATGTATAAGTGTAAATGTAAGAAGACAGGAGTGAATTATCCCTGTTTAAAAAGTGGATTTATAGTAGTTTCCTTAAGTGCATTAGGGAAAATTCCAGTATTTAATGATAAATTAAAAATATATTCTAAAGGTTTGATAATCATGTCATCAATAATTTGTTTCAAAATATAATTTATTAGCCTATATATATATACAAAATTGTTTGCTTTAGTATTAAGGATATAATTTTTAATTTCGTCTTTAGAGATAGGCCTAAGAAAAATAGAATCTATATTAGTTTTGGAATCAGAATTCTTTATAGTGTTATTTGGTGATATAAGTAAATTGATCTTTTTGGCGATTTTTTCCCCTATATTTTGTAAATAAGTTATTACATTTATTGGCAATATCTTTACTTTCATGAATTATATTATGATTTTCTTCATCTATTAACGATTCAACATTAGTTGAAGTTATTCTATTATCTTTATTATTTATTGATTCTTTCATTAAATTCCAAATATTTTTTGAATCTCCTTGTGCTTTACTTATTTCCTTAGAAAAAAGTATATCTTTAGCAGATTTGATAATTTAAGTTAACAAGTTTCTATATATTTTGTTTTTAATATTGAAGGGTTGTTTTTTTAATTTTATTAAACATTTCATCTCTATGCCGCATCGATTATGCCTGTAGTGATCCATTTTTTTAATTTTATACTTAAATTTAGGTTGATGTAATTGTTTGGTAGTTGGAGACAATTTATTTGCATTCTTTATTTTATAAACGAATAAATTAATTGCATCAGTGATATCACTTGCATAAAAAATATTAGACCATATTTTCTCTTTATACACTTTTAAGTTGATCGAAATTTAATATGTTAAACATTTTTTTATTTAGCAACTTCATCAAAATTTATGTTCCTATCTTAAACTTTATTTAAAGTGAAAATTACAGTATAGTGATCAGTAGGGCTCGGGACTTATTTTACTCTAAATTCATAAAAAAGCACGCTAAGCAAATATTATCCATTGACGAGATATTCTACTTTTAAGTTTGGATTGGAGAGGAATAGTGGAGTATCATCTAAGATAAAACACCATAGATTTATATTTAAATATATTATAGAATATTTAAATTTATTTTTTTATTCCAGCAGGTACTTAATTATTTTGTATAATTATAAAATGTAGGTATTTTCTTAAAATACGTATAGCGGAATTATTTCGGTTTCCTTAACCATTATAATGCATCAATGTAATAACATTTCCCTTGTTGACCACAATAATAATACACTCAATAATAATAATAATAATAAAATTACCCTTTCGTTTTACACAAGGAACTCAGGCACGTGTCACGACTACGATAATGATGCACGCACAATTGATACGAGTACATTATTATTAGTGCTAAGCTGATATTACTTTTTCCTTATTTTCGATAAACGCTACATTGGAAATTCAAAATCGAGACCATATGTTGAAATTAACCGATATACCGTTGAAATCTGTTAGAAATTAGAAACATTATTTTATATTGCAAAGATTCTATACATATATATTATTATTATTTTATTTGAAACATTATATTTTGTTTAATACTTTAGTAACGTTCGTTTTTTATTCGTTTTACAAATTCTTCTGTGATAGGACATGTTCTGTACTACGTTTTTAACCTTTGAGCTTCTATTTCGAGTACTGGATAAAATGCACAATTGGCTAAAATGTGTTATTTAGTACTTATACTTATGAAATTTATCGGTCAAAAATTTTCGGTAAATTTCGTTAAATCGGGTAAATTTTTAACTAGAAATGCAATAAACATATGGAATATATATATATAATAGATATGCTATTGTTATGGATCCTCTTGGTTCCATCCATCGGGCTATGACCATATTACACACAAGACATATGTGTCTTTTTATTTAGCTATTAATCATACATTGATAATACTCGTATAGAGTCTGGGTATGTTATATGTATAAATTACAACCGTATCCAGGGTAATACTAATCGAATTATTAATTATTATTCACATGTAGTAAAGTACAACGACCAAATTAAAAAATATACCTGAACGCATACTTAATCGCGACAGGGTATAATAGGTTATTATGACTTTATATTATATTCATTCATATATTAAGAACAATAATATGATCAGCGTTTTAAATGATGCCATGGGGGGCTTGAGAGGTCTAAGCCCATTTAAAATGTACAAATTGAGAAATTATCCTCCTTAAATTATTAATTAGTAATTAGTAGAGACTTAGATCCCTCAATCTCCCACAATTTCCGGCACAGACCACCACCCTCGTTTACAAAACAAACTCCATACAACACTTTTAATATTAATATTCCATACTTACCAATTTTATAAAAAATATGGCTTAAGTACTCATCTACATGGATTTAACACCACCCACCCATTAAAAGAAGTGTGGTGACCGCCACCCTAGACTGTTGGTTTTAGCGCCACCGAATCGTCACTTTTGTGTTAATTCTACTCGATATTAATAATAATAATATTATGTTCTAGAATTGTAAATATTATTCAATATTTAAATTTTTTTTTTTTGGTGTTTTAGCTAAAACAAAAAACGACTTTTATGCGTATTATTTTCTGTGTTTTTTTTTTTTTTTTTGTGCATATTTCGCTTAATTTACTTTTCTTATAACTTTCAAGACGTAGTTATTAGACTTGCAAAAAAATATAATGTATGTTTGTAATGTAAAATCACCCGATTTTAGCGAAGAACCTTACCAAATATATTCCGAGTGAAAAAAAAACATCGATTAAATTTGGCATATGGGCACATGCCCCCCCCCCCCCCTTATCAATGGACTGCAGTTTTTATTTATATATTCTGTATTGATTGAATGTATAATTTATAGTTAATTTACTGAAAATATAAATAATGTGCTCCCCTTTTAAAAAACGTCTAGATCGGCTGCTGGCGTCTACTATACGTCGTCGTACAGCTATTACAGTCATGCCGTATGTTACCCGACAAAAGTCAAAAAGTACGCACAGCGTCGTCCGAGGGGCATAACATTTGACTCGCGGTACACGTACTGCTGCTGCTGCTGCTGCACACATCAATCCGGAGGCGACGAATCGGATATTTTTTTTTTTTCATTTTCTCTCTGAAGTCGTTTGCCGATCGCTTATATTTTATACAAACACGCGCGCACACACGTCGAAAGTGTGCCATTCACCTACTTCCCGCGGGAGACTGGTTTTGCCAGTGGCCGATCGACCCGTTGGTATTTTACGCGACCGTATCCGTCATCGTCCGTCCGTCCATACACCGTCTCGAGAGCGGCCGCGTTTAATACATTATTATGTACCGAAGCGGCAGAATGGACGTCCGCATTTTTCGAGGTACGTCGCCGTGATTTACTACGCGCCGCCGCCGTTGCCCGACGGATAATGTTATTATTATTCCTCGCCACCGGAGCCGTCGTTGCCCAGTCGCCACTGCTCGGCCGCCACCGCCTTGTCGGACGCGACGGCGGGTGTACGATTGTCGAGTATTATTACCGCAGTGCTATTAACTTCGCTGATGCAGCCCATTAACGATCTCCACGCCGGGTGAACCAAAAACAACAATGGTTATTGCTATGGTGTTGTGTTAAAATATTATTTTGCGACTGCTCGAAATAACTCATACGAAATTCAGTTCCAACGAAATTTATTTAATATCATTATAATCATATCATATTATTATAATATAATAATATGATATAAATATAACCGTTTCAAGTTTTAAACTAATAATAATAATAAAAATAAATACTTATATCGTATGTAATAAATAAATTATTAATTTATAATATATACTTAATTATATAAGCCGAGCGCGACGTACAATACGACATACGTGAATACGCCGCCGTATAGAATAATATTATAATAAACGGGTAGAAAACAATATTATTAATATAAACACGTTCGTTTGACAATAAAATCACACTTTTTTCATCGTAAAATAGAGTAAATAAATAAATACATAATTAAGTAAGTATACAAGTAAGTGTGTGTGTGTGTGTGTGTGTGTGTGTGTGTGTAAGTGTGTGTGTGTATGTGTATATATGTATATATATATATATATATAATTCATACTTATACAAATATACGTCGACAGTCAACAACTAATGTGCATGTGCTAATTTTATTTCTATTGGCATATTATATTATTATTGGCAAATATTACGACCCGATCATATTTTTATAGAGTATACGTATTGAAGGTTTTTTTTTTTTTTTTTTTTGATTTTGAATATTTGTAGTAAACAGCAAACGCACAAAAGTTGTTGTAACGCTTCGTCAGAATAATAGTGACTATAATAATATATAGACATCAGTACATCAGTACCTACTACGCGTACGATTATATTATACGTATTATGACAACTATAATTAATTAATCTAACTTAATATTGTATCGATAATATATAATACTTAAACGCTAAAATTATGATAATTATAATATATTTGTAGAAATGTATACAAATAAATAACACGATTATCATTACTATTATATGGCTCTTTTTTTTTAAAAGAAAAACACTAAATAAATACGACGTATTCGTTTAAGTCGAGAATGTCGAGAAAGCCGATGACACGTATTTCGAATATTATAATATAATAAACTGTTCGTATTTATTACACAGCATGTCGTCACACCGCATCATAATATTGTTTACTATATCGGAAAACGGTGCGAAAACATCCAACACACGACTGTGATCAGAGCGATCGCAAAAAACGGATTTACAAGCAATGAAGAGCTTTTACATGTTACATGCGGTGGGTATACAACTATATACCTATTCGGTGTAGGCCGACGATGACGGCGTAAATTGTGTAGGTAAACGAATATTGTCTACGAAACGCGATATTATACACCACATTTGTATGGCTAAAAATCGGCACGAGTACTCGCATTATAATAGTAGTGCCGAGCAACGGTTTTTCGAAAATATCGGATTCGAGGTCGCGGGCACCGATGTGCATCGATTACGTCCATGCCGCGAGAATTTAACTAAATATTATAAATTATATTATCACCTATATACTTAATTTTATCGTTTTCTAAATAAATTTATAAATAAATAAATAAATAAATAGGCTGTGGTGACGGATTTGGCACTCGTCGGGTATGTTAGTACGGTTTTCGGTTGGCAATACGTGAAAGTAAATTGAAACAATTATTATAATTTCGCCGCCGTCACAGGAGACTGCGGGAACGGGGGAGAAAATAACCGGAGTGATAGGTTTTTTTTTTTTCGTCGATAATTCTCGAATTACCGATGTGGTGTAAATGTTATATAGTAATGAACGAGTATTAGTATTATTATTATTATTATAAAGGAAATGGTTGGGCCGACTACGGCGTTCGTCTTTATGGCGTGGCGGCTTGTAAGGCTATACGTTCCCCCGGGTGTGAATTACGGCCGGAAAAAAAAAATGTATAATTTTACATTTATTATGAACGAGACACGCTGCTAACGATATTATTTTAACGGATAGTGGATTGAAAAAAAAATAGTCGAAATACCAAAGAAACCGTTTTTCAGAGAGGGAGTGATGCGTGTGGAGGGGGGTGGAGAGGTAATTAATATACTTAGTAAACTCGTTTTTAAACTAAGTTCACACGAATAAGTTATGCTGACTATAAGGTTCTAATATTATAATACCTATATAGAATGATAAAAATGCGTACCTAAATGCTGCGTTATTGATTCTGGGGCTTTGGTTTATTATGGCGTTTCGCTTATGATTGACTGTCGGGTTTTTGTTTTTTTATTTTTACCTATATTTACACTTTGCTCGCACGCTCATCACGTGAATACCTGGTGCATTTTCTTGGTCTTGTGCACGGTAGCCGCGGCGGTCGGCTGCAGTTTGGGATTGGTGCACGCCACCTGTGCGTTTTTCCGGCGTTGCGGCATGGACCGTATGCGCAGACACAGGTACGCGGACACCAGACAGGACACAAGCAAGATGCCTAGTAGCACGAACAGCGTGGCCGAGAAACCAACCGTTGTCATGCAGATCATGGAAGACGGTTCGACGGTTCGGATAGGGAACACCATGGTGTTGGTCGAGTTGGTCGCGGAGTCGTCCAGGGCGAACGTCAGGTCGCCGGTGGACACTACTTTGATGATGCGGTTGACGCCTACCTCCTCCTCGTCGGTGGGCGTTGATCTCTTGTAGAGCCGTTGCCTGACGCGCCTCTCGTCCCGGGGTCGGGCCGACCCGATTCTGGCGTACACGTCCAGCGGCGGCGGCGGTGGACCGTACTCCGAGTGCACCACAGCCGACGGATGGTGAGCTGACAGCAGATTACCGTGTTGAGCGTTCAGTATAGCGCTCGAGTCCGAACACTGATCCGGGCACTGATACCGGCAGATCTGTATGGTGCACTGGAAGTGCACTTCCATCGAGTCAGGGAACTTGAACGCCTGGAAATGGGCGTATGACAGTACGGAAGCGCTGGCGCCGAAGTTCTTGATTTTCGTGAACCGCGACATGAGTTTTCCGCGGGTAACGCAACCCTTCTGGTCCACCAATTGGATGGGTGCTCGTTTACCATCGTGTGCCATGCAGTTTCGTACGAGCATGTCGAACTTGGAGTCGTCGTCCTTGATAGCTAACACCATGGTCATAGTCTGTCCGATTTTTACCAGCCCGGAAACTTCGGAAGCCCATGGTCCCTTTCCGACCTTTCATAAAAAAAAAAGAAAAAAAAAAAACAAAATATAATTTAGGTATTATAACTGAATTGTAGTATAACAACATAAAATAAATCCCTTCTATGTCGTGGTATATACAATCGTTTATTGCCGATGATGATCACTGCGGTGAACCAACTGAATGAGAAATATTATAATAACGTCATACAATCGAGACCGAGAGCTTATCGAATTATCTCGACCCGATTTTCGTATTTGTAACTAATTGAACCGGGGGTAAATGATTTTATAAAACAATATTGTTATGGATTAAGAAATGTTATCTAATTTCAATACCCACGCGTATTACGAAGCGGTTATTAAATGGTTAGTAATAACGAAATTACAACCTACACACAATTTGAACGAATCGGTAACAAGACTGCTTATAAAATATCTATCGGAATAAAACTAATTTTCATTATGAGATATTAAAATATTGTGTCAACGGGAATATTTTAGATTAATTAATAATGTGTCTTCCAAATTATTACACAAAAACTAAAAAATGATAAAACGAAAATATTCTTCAACAGAATGGAAACAAATACACTAATAGATTGGAATTTAAAATTTGAAAATAAGTATAGAATATTTTACGAATACAACAATACTAAATACATTAATCAACATTGCAGACCAGAGATCAAGTATGTATATTGATTTCATTTTCACCGCGAGAAAAGTGAATAAAGTTACAATTATGGACTGACAAATGAATTATATAATTGGATTTATATCTGCTCCGAAAAAAAAAAATGCTTTCGAAAAAGATTTATTCGCCAAAAATTGAAAATGTTACATCATTGGTTATTTTTTTAATTATATTCCGTTTTTGTAGAGCGTATCTAAACGGTGTTTGTATTAAAAATGTCCTGTTCATAAACCATATACTTACCTGTTCGAGCAGTATACCTGTCTATTCAAAATCGACGCATACGATAAATTACGAACATAATTAAATATTATAATATTACCTGTATTTGCATCCAGCAACCAACGTTGTCTCCGGCGAAATCAGCCCTGACCACATCCAGCATGTCCACGGGGAACGGCCTGAACGTGACAGACTTTTCGTATTGGTCGTGCCACGTGCACCTGAGCTTCCTGGCCTGGTCCCAGACCTCTTGCACCTGTGGATCGTATTGGATGACGATGATGTTCTCGAAGTACGTCCCGGAACCGGAATCGGCACCGTATCCGTACAGGCCGTTCTCGGTGTTGCCGGACGTGCCACACGCGTGTATGCTTATTTCAAAGTTGACTGAAGATCGGCCCAGGCCTGCGGGTAAGTGCACGCAGTTTCCGTTGCTGTAGTGGCCCTTGCTAAAAACGATCCCGTAGAACGGCTTGTCGAAGCTCAGGAATACCTTCATCGAGTTTTTCTCGCACTTGACGTCTAGTGACACGATCTTGGGCATGTCGGCGGAGGCGCTGCTTGGCCACGGGTCTCCGAGTGCATTTCCCACTGGTCCACCAGCCGAGTACGACTTGTCCATGGCTTCTGACTGTTGGCTCACCTGCAGTTGTTGCTGCTGTTGCTGTGGCGGTGGTGGTGGCGGCGGCCCATGGTAACCCACGTTGTGATGGTATTTACCGGACGGTTGCTGCTGCTGCTGCTGCTGCTGCTGTTGCTGCAGCGATTGCGGCGGCGGTGGTAGTGACTGCGGAGGTGGTGGGCCACGGTTAAGCGGTGAGTGGCCACGAATCGCCGCTGATTGCGGTTTTAAGTAGTTGTGCTTGGCTATGGAACCCGACGCGTTCTGGTCGTCCATGTCATCGCCGGTCTCCATTGCCAGCTGATCGGGATTGTGTGCCTCTGCGTCTTCGCGCTTTTGCGCCGACGACGGTCCGTGAATCTGTTGATCGGACTGCAGCAGATCATCTATAGACTGGGACGTACCTGATACCGCTTCGACAACGTCTACTTCTTCCGTTATCTGTGGGAAAACAACCACTAGATAATGTCAAACATGTATTATTTAAGACGCGTGAGTTCGCAAAACGCGAAATGAAATCTCCTTTTTTTTTTTTTGTCCGAGGGAGAGTACCAAAATGTTTCGGGTAGTTTCACCCCATGTGGTTGCTGTGTATAGGTATGTTAATATTAATAACATAATAACTGATACTGCTGACGGGTGCGTGATGTGCAATTGTTTTATAAGGGAAGTTAGAAGAGAGGATATAATATGTATATTATATACATATATTCTATGAAATTATTGTATAGAGTAATTTAGTTTATATCTGTACGCCATTTCTAACGAAAAACGATTCTGAGCAGAGTATTAACAGTCGTATTTCTTCCATTGTTGCCAAGGTAACCCCGAAACCAATAAACGTTTTCTAGTTTTGCTCCAATTATTAAGAAAACTACAAAGAGAATCCATCTCCCAATACACTATTATAACTACATCAAAAAATGCAATAAAAAAATGTTTATAAAGCTTTTGATTTAGCAAGATTTCCGGTAGAAAAGTTGTTTAGGCACCCAAAAAAAAAAAACACACACACATCATACATAGTTTTTACTACGGTTTTCGCTTGGAATCTAAAAGTACGTATTTATGGTATACTATATATTGATAATTATTATTGTATTGTGACGAATATAGAAAAGTGATAAGAAACTTATACCTAATACACCGTAATTGGATATATTGCGACGGGTATAGTCATCGTGTCGTTTTCGAAACGATATTTCGGGGCCGCGGTGTCAAATGCTGCAAAATCATAAACGGACTGCAAAATATTATGTTTATATTGTTCTTGTCGTTTTGCGACGGTGACACGCGATATTGTGTATGCCTTAACGGTATATAAAGGTTACTTAACCATAACGAGTGGGGCTTGTGGTATATCGTTCTATATTCCGCAAAGCGAGTATACGCAATACGGTATTGTCCATAATACGTTGCCGCCGCTGCGTGTACCGTATCAATTAAATAGACCAATGGTATTAATGACAGCGACGTAATTTTTGCTTTTAGCCGTTTTTCTGGAGGGCGATTAATACGTTTGTTGTGACGGGCAACGAACAAATAATAAAAAAAAAAAAACAAAAAACAATTGATGAGGCAGGCTATAATATCTTTGGTCCAACGAGTCAATTTTCAAGTCAATTTTTGGCATTATTTTTGATACATTTTTTATGTATTTTCTTCTCTTTATTTTTCGATCCAAACTATCCAGTATATACGTATGTATGATGTTATAATATGTGTTTAATAACTACAGGCATCTTAAAAACTTTAATATAAATAATAAAATATTTAATTGTTAACATCTTTAATATAGATAGTTTTATTTGTATATACTTGTCCTATAATACGAATGTTTATGTATAATTGCTTGATTTAAACATTGTAGGTACATTTAATATGTATTTCATGAGAATTTGCCCTGAATTAATATTTTTAATCAAATTTATATTATCAGTTTTAATAATTTCAACTCTCTACCACCACTACAATCATTACTTAAAGAAGGTAGATATTATTGTAAATCATGTATTTATTCAATTTATTTACGATTTTTAATAATTAAAACGTCAGATCATGTTGAATATTAAATAATCTGAAGTCACAATATATTACGATAAAATTTGTTTTGGCGAAAAAAGGCACGAGTCATATAATTTTACGATTAAACACATACTTTCGCATTTGTTTCAGCCATTTTGCTGTTTTGCAAATCGTGTAATTTAGTATTTTTTTAAAATGTAATTTGTTTATGTCAAGAACTATACGAAATTGACTCAAGTCCTTCTTCCTTAGAGCCGAATATATAATGCAATTTAATTTATGTTTGTACACAATGATAAATCATTGCTGACGAAAAGCGATTCTGAGCGATATTGTTAAGTTATTTTAACAAGGATGCTCGAAAATGAGTTTCGTCATAAATTATATTATAAGAGTGTCAGAAATCTGCACTCATAATTTTTTTTTTCAATACATGTTTAACGATCGACACTCAGAATCTTTTTTCATTGCTAATTATTCATTGTCGCATACACAGGTATAAATTAAATTACTATTCATATATATCTTAGATTTTCGCAACTTCTCATCTATACTCTTTAGGTTATAAAATAGTGGCACATCCGTCAACAACAATTTGGCTCTTTTTGTCCATCCCGTATTACTAATATAATATACCTATACACAATTTATAAGATGTAGACATTATAATAACAGTGAAATTATTTACGAAAAAAACAAAATCAACTATTCGTGATTCATAGGGACCGTAAATACAAACCACGTCGGTATTAAACGTACATAATATAATAATATACTTACGCCATATGACAGCAGCAAGCAAAGTGCAAGTGACAGTCTTAGGATCATGTTGACGTTGGTGGTGGATTCACAGGAATTATCTGTGAAAACATAATACAAACGCATTTTAATAAAACAGAAATATTTTACGACGGGCGTAAGAACTAATTCGACGTCGGCAACACTACGGCCGCGATCGTAATATTTATTATTCCGACACCCCGTGAACAAAATAAAATAATAAAATAATAATAATAATAAAACAAATATTGCCGTAGGGAAAGTTAGAAAAAAAAAAAATGTGAAAATCTATAGAAAAAAAAAATTATCTTTGAAAAAGCGGGGTTTTATCGAATATTTGCGAGTGTAAATGTGTGTGTGTATGTGTGTGTGTGTGATATGGATCGCGTACTGTCTGTGCCGTCTGTTACTCTATACAAGCGGTTTGACTGCTCCGGGAAAAAAAAAAATCCGATTTCCTTCCAATTCCCCGGCCGTCTATTTTTTAGCGCACGCGGTTCGAGTCCGTCTCTTCGCTTCCGTAGATAGATATAAAAATATATAATACGCGCATTATAGTCAGACAGATGATTCCGGTTATCGCGCGCGCGCTCGTCTCCGCGCGTTCCACGGCTGCGGCGGCGGCGACGGTACATCCTGTTCGCCGGGAAACCCGGAGAAACACTCTAGTGACACACTCGTGGCTCCGAGGACACGATAATAATACTAATAATATATGTGTGTAAAACGTCTGTTTTTTACTGACCGTCACAATATACTTCGACTACCTATTTATACCGCAGTGGCTCGTATATCTATATAATATATGATACTTGTTCGTTAACAACAATGCCGGCCAACGCGGTGATATGCGATGAGTACAATAATAATAATATCGCGTCGCGATCCGCGGGTCTCTCTCAGACGGCAAGAAGGAAAGAAAAAAAAAATTGCTGCCGAATCGCGCACGACAAGAAGTTAAACGGACTTTCGCGGATACCGAAAACATTAGCAGTGTAATATCGACGGTGATACGGCAAAGGGGGTCTATACTAAGCGACACTTTGGGTCTACGCGACTCGACTTCACTTTTTACGGATGGAGAAATACGTGTTTCGTCTATTGTGCGTGCTCAAAAACATCTGTGACCTGCATTATTTAACGAAAAATTTGAATTTTAAGTTTAGCATACAAACGATACATTTTTCCTCTATTCTAATCCAAAAAAAGTTAATGTCAATCTAAAGAAAATATGTTAAAATCACAAATAAATGTTTTTTGACTTTCCTGAAAACTATGAATTATGTCGCTTAGACCCTTTTGCCGTGTCACCATCGATATTATAACATACGATATTCATGGACTTGGTGATTCGCGAACTTCTTTGGTCACGACGGAAAGAGGGCTAGAGTCGATTTTTTTTTTTTATAATTTCATGTCATTACGGTATTTTGTCGCTATTTATTTTTCGGTCGAAATAACATACATTTAAAAATTAGTGTTTGTAGTAGGTGTATACAAAGTGTACTTATGTTTTTTTAAAAATGTAATCCACTCGTATAGAAAACTGTACACTATCGACTTAAGCTCCTCGTCCCCTGGGATCGACGATTTATAAAACGTCCCGAAGAAGGTCTATTCGTGAATAGTGATGTGCGATCTTAAATCGTCCGTTTTCGACTGTACTAGATATCTTTTTAGTTCGGTGTGCTGTTAAATGATTACGACAATCAAGTTAATTCAAAAATAAATCCCCAGAGCCAACTTTCTTTTACTGTGATCCATGGTTTTATAAAAACAAAAACAAAATATTTTCCTATGCGTATTCAAATATATTATATTGGAACAGTAGTACGTTCAGAATGATCTGTTGTGGAGACGTGTATGAAGCTAATTAATTAAACTCGAAACAGTTGAACTTCGTATTATTATAAGAAATATGCAATGTGCAATATGCATTAACCGCGTATTGTCAAAAAGATAACATTTTTAAATTTTAGTTTTGATTGTATTTGGGTTGAAAGTCGATTTTTTTTAAATGCATTCGAATTTACATCGGTGTACTATAGCAGTGACGGATTTCTCATTTTAATTTCGTTTGTACAGAGATATTATTATATTATAATGTATACATAAAATTTGAACAATAATACTTTTAATATAGGTTCCGTTTAGGACTTTCGACACGACGAGTTGAATATTTTATTTTTCGCGTTAACGATTTAACCGAAGGCGTTCATTTCGACTCGATTCGATCGACAATTTCATATGGTATTTTTTTTTTAAAAAAAAACCTTTCAAGGGGGCCCGTATTTTTTCTTCGAAACCTTCTCTTATACATTAGCCCCCGCCCCTTAACCCTGATCTTGATTCATATATAATATAATAATTAATATGCATGTACGAATTATTTAGAACGATAGGAATGTAGAAGTAGTAGTATTAGTAGTAGTAGTTGTAGTGTTTCATAATTCGACGGCGATAATAATAATTAAGAACGAACGCGCTCGACTTCCGAAATCCGGTTTCGACCCAGAATACACGGCCGCGGCCGTGAGTGGGTCAGTGTTCTTCTTAAAAAAAAAAAAAAAAAATGTATAAAAGTCTCCCTACTAGGTTACCGCGTTTACTATCGTGTACCATAATATTATTATGTGTGTCGAACATTTTTATGGTAATATATTATACGCGTTTAGGTCAGGTACCCGAGAGAAAACGCCGGCGGCAACGGCCGTTCGAGCCCGGGCCACCGCGGCCGCCGCCGTGCCGCAGCCAGATCGCTTGCTCCCGGCGACGGCGGCGGCAACTGATCAGTGAACGTGATTTTTTCAATAGCTTTGGATCACGTTTTGTTTCTACAAAAAAAAAGTAATAATAGAAAAACCATTATAACTCGGCGCGGCGTCCGCGGTATCGGTGATTCTCTTTTCTTCGCCACCGCCGCGATAATAACAAGGTGTAAAAGTCGGTGCGGACGAATATTATTATTATATATTCGGCCACCGGACGCCGCGGTTTATACAGTTCCCCTCGAGGGTCTTCCGGGCCGCGTTTCCGATAGATTTATCGCACCTCGCTGACCCACAAAAAATAAAAAAAATCGAATGAAAACCGTTAAACCGCGATCAAAAGTCGCATCATGCGCTATTTTTTGATACTTATGGTTTTTTCGTCAACCTATCGTAAATATTATACGCACTTTAAGGTGGCTCGTATTATAGCCGTATATTATACGTTATTTTATGACCCGATTCCGAACGTGTTGTCCAAAGTGCACGTAAAATACCGAACAGTGGTCGTCGAAGACAACCCGCATTACGTGAAAAAGAAGTAAAAAAAAAAAAAGCCCATGCCAAAAACGTATACAATAATAAATAAAATATTATTACAATGGATTCCGCCTAATGTAGGCACCGGTTAATATGGGCATCCACGTAGTATGGGTAAAATTATCTGGTCCTAATACAAATGTATATTAACAAGGTTAAAAAAAACCGTATAATATGGGCACTCGCTTCGGTTTATGTGGGCAACTTTTATTTTATCATAGCGCTAGAATATACACATATGTATTTAAAAACGACTAATATAATCGGGTTTCGTCATATCTATGAGATTGTGTTCATCGAAAATTATTATAATAAAAAGCATTAACATTTAAACCTTAATGGGATTTTATTTACTAAATATATAGACTTGCGTGTGAGTTCATGCAAGAGGGTAACGAAAATAGTCCATCTGATAAGCTTGAAGGGCATGCCCATTTTTCGTTAACCAGATCCACACTAAACAGTTTAGACAACAAGCAATTACAACGTTTTGTAGACTTTCCACGTCCAAATAGTAATTTTATTTAATATGTTATATTCAGTTTTATTTATACAGTAATTTAACATTTTTTTTCAATTTGTATGGTTCACGTGTGTAAAATAAAAACATTTTTTATATTACACATTTCTGTATTTTTTAATTGATTTCGGTTTTTATGAGCAACCGCTTACAGGGTTGGTCCCAACGTGCTCACATTATGCGGAATCCACTGTATTGCGTTTGTCCGGTCCCCGTTTAATGGTTTTCTCGTGAACGATGAGTGTTTATGTATTGCGGCGGTCCGTGCTCTCCGAGTTACGAAACGAAAACAAATAATAATAATAATAATGATAAAAAATACGAGCTCGACAATAGGCACTCGATTTATGCGCTCGTTGTATTATCGAACGGCGTCCAATCGGCCGGCCATTCATGTGTCGCGAATAACGCGCGCTTCCATCGTACAATAAAAAAATAATAATAATAATACCAACACAAGTACCTCTACCTATAGTAGTATTATAATTTATAACGATAATACGTTCGCGGTTCGTTTATTATTATTTGAGTACGTACGTTGTTATTACGGGTTTTGAACAGATTTTTTGACAACCCCCCCCCCCCCCCCCCCCCNCCCCCCCCCGAAAGATTTGTCGCCACGGCACTTTCCATTCGCTAACGCCCGTACGACGTGTTGTCGGCGATTATAAAAATAATAATAATACTTATTATAATCGTATATTATAATAATAATAATAATAATAATACGAAACGAGACCGCCGGTTAGGTCGGTCGTTCGCGTATTGTCCTATGTCCATCTCCCATGTATTTTTTTTTTTTGTTTATTTTTTCCCCCCGTTCGTATCCCCGGCTCTTCGTACAAATATCACTCATTTACGTGACCGCGCATACGTAATAATATATACGTATACATTATATCGGTAGGTACTTAGGACGTATACCGTCTGATTATAGGTCCGAGAATCGGTATTTTTTGTCGTTGCGCGCGTATTGTTTACCGAGTTTCACGTCGCACACGGTCGCTACAATACGACGCACGCAGCTTTCTATTTTTCCCGCGGTGCATTTTGCCGCCGCAGCATCCGCCTGGCTTACGATCCGCTAGTTATATATTTTCAGTAAAACCTATTTAAAATAAAGCTCCTCCTCCCCCGATATATGTGCCCGTCGTTTGCGGTTTTCGTTTTCACTTTTTCGAGTGATAGTATATGTACAAAAAAAAAATAGGTAAATAGGTCTTAGTGCGTTATTTTTTATTAATAAAACATCGTATATACCAACACCCGATGCGTATCGACTCGCGGTTCGAATAACCGAATAAACACCACTGTACCATATATAGGTAGGTACTTATATAATTAATTGCACCGCTTATTAGTTCCGATTCGATTGCCATTACCAGCGGTTCGAGTCGATGAACACGACAGTGATTATTACCTATAATATTTCGTTACATATAGCCTCCTAATACTCCTATATCGAACGACTTTTGAAAATTTCTATTGACTTTTGGATCCATTGTCGCTCGCGGTACACGTCGTTTTTACGCCTACGGGGGCAGTACCCGTTTTGTACCCAAAATCGGATTAATGGACTATTAAGTGGCCTAGAGCCAGTTCGTCGTTTCGCGGGGGGCCCTAATTTTACAAAAATTAAATAGATTTACAAAAATCTCGATCACGGTCGTAGAAAAAATTGGCAGAAATAACTTTTTTTGAATAGCAATAGGTAGTTATGAAATATTACGGTATTTTTTTCTTTTTTTAGCCCGGCCTTTTTCTTCGGAGGAATCAGAAGTGAAATTCATCTTAAACCTCCCTTCCCCCGTAATCCGGCTTTATATAGTGTTTACCCTATATTATATGAATCTATCTGCATATTGTTATACCACTTGAAGACAATATTATTATTTTTTTATTCATAAATTCAGTTTTTCTATATTTATTTCACAAAACTCGTTGTTTATTTTCCTCTGAACTACGTATAAATCAGCTATTTTGCCAACACAATCATTATCGATGTATAATAACATTATTAATTTTTATTTCGAGTAATTACTCTCTCATACTTTTTGTTACATACTTAGGATATTTGTATACACTTGGATATAACTACTGAAAACTGCTTTTGTAGGAACTATACTAAATCGAATATGATCATATAAAATAAAAAAATCTATCTATTATTATATATATATCATAATCGGTTTTTTTTTTTAACTCTGTACTTATCAAATATGAATTAATTAAAATATATAGAATTGAATTATATTCACCTCGAAATCGTTATATATCTTTATAATATTTTCAGAGCTGTATATATGTAGCTTTCCATCGAGGACCACATTTGACGTAAAAACAAAAAAAGGTTATCGATTTGGTTTCACTGGTAGTTTTATTACCAGACTACCGGTTGGTAATATAAAAAATTGCATACAATATTAAGTGAGCAATAAGCATATTTATATTGTAATCACTGAACAGATATAATATGGTACTTGTAAAGGGTTTTACGGTGAAAAAATAGGTATATCAAATTAACGAAATGGTTGATTTCTAACAATTCCAATCGCTGTATTAACAATTCAACTGACTCAATTGTTAATCTGATGTAAAAAAAAAAAAAAACGAATCGATTCGTATATAACCCGACGAGCGCAAACGGGTTTCTATAGAGATTTGAAGAATATAATATAATATAATTTATAAGTAAGTACCTGCTTGTTTATTATAATCGTTGTGCCGATCGTATACGCACGAGAAGTTCATTCATGGTGGCAGTTTGCCCGCGGCAATTTGTTCGATTCAAACCGAACAGGTCGTGTCAAAACTATTAGCTGTGATTTTTTTAGTAAAATACGATATTGTATATATTGTAAAATGACAGCTGTCTCGTGTTAAATATTTTATTAGGTGTTATAAACGTTGTCGGAACAGTGTAACTATACACGAGCGTAGGTATGAAACGAGATTTAAAATATCTATATACTTGGATCGTTTTCACGAAATCATTTAGAGTATATTAGTAAATTATAAAACGGCTATAAATATGGTTTACATTATATGAATTATCGATACGTTCGTTTGACGTAATAAATACGAGGGCGAGTAGAGTAAACCAGAAAATGCCGACGGTTAATAATGAGAAGTGGAAGGTATAAAATCAATAGATGGTAGCAGATCGCATTTAAAATATTGATTTACTCGTCTTTTTCAAAATCACACAATAAATGTTCTAATAAACGAGTAATTTTGTTTATTTATTACCAACGTCAAATACCTATACGTATAAACGTCCATCATTTTGCAGGGCTTTAAGAATAACGTGATGATTTGTGAAAATTTTGTGTTGAGTAAATGATAAAGAAAAGGCATACAATTTCTATAAATATGTATATGTATAATGGATGCAGCATAGGCATATAAAATAGTATTATTTAAAAAAAAAATTGTAGTTCTTACCTCTGAATTGGATATTTGGTATCACCCACGGGCACGTGTGTTTATGTCAGATAAACTTTTATTTGAAAAAATAAAAACAACGACACTACGCGATATACGTATTAATAATGATATTGTAAGATACGGAATATGGATTGCGGAAGAATAAATATAAAAAATGTTCGGAATCACAAAAAAAAAGTTCTAACGATTTTTTAGGCGGAACAAGTTGACGACACGACGGATTCAAGACGATTAGTGATCGGGAACTCGTGGCCGGCAAGAAGAAAGGATCAATGAGATCCATCCATCTCTTCGTCTTGGATAGCTTTACTGCAGGGGTCCGGTGCAGCGGATGATATTGAAACGGCGACACAACGTGTTTCCGTCCCCTCCTCCGCACGCAGTTACCGCTGTTACCAGCCACTTGGTCATGACCTAGACCTCAACAGGAACAAGTCGGACGGTCTGGTTTCATCAAAGCCTGCATAGCAATTAGTCTGCGTGTGTGAGTGTGTGTGGGCCCCTCTCTCTTCTCTCTTTCTCTCTCACTCTCTCTATCTATCTTTCTTCTTTCTCCGTTGTTTCTCTATAATTTTGCGCTTCATTGAAATTACTATTTGTACGGATATGGCCCGATAATGCTATATACCTATTCTATAAGATATTATATGGCCACTCCGCGAAAGCAGTGGATTATATGTGCCAAAACGCGCGCACACTCAGAAGAGAGAAAAATTGTCGGCGGCTGTACGTCTAAATTATATTCTATATAAAATGTATAATTACACATTATCGTGTAAGTGCGTTTATACAGACTTTATTTTATTTGTATACGAATTTCGTTCAATCAATAAACAAAATTCTGATTCAAAGTGCTATAACTGTGAGTAAATGTAGTCAAAAAAGTGCAACAATAAGAAACAAAAAAGTTATCCTAGGATAATGGGGACGGGTGCAGCCATTGTTATAGGTAATTTAATGTATATCTGTAAGAAATGATTAACAATTATCTAAACGATAACGAAAAAAAGATTCTGAGCGGAATTCGGTTGATAGTGTTGTCTTGTCAATAATATTTATGTCATATTATGTTAAAATAATTACATACCTGTGCATTACCTATATATGTTCTTAAACAATATTTGTTGTACCTATATTCCTATTTTTCCTACGTTTTTCTCATTTTTCCTCAGTTTTTTCCGGTTTTCCAGGGAAAACTCCTAGGGAAATCAAAAACTAACCTACATAAAGTACCTACCCAGTCAGATTTCCTTTTAGAGTAAGTGTAAATTGTAGGTGTCCATTGTAAATCGAAGCAAAATTTCTGGTAGAAAAGTTGTTCATAGGAAAAAAAAGACCGTAATATTTTTTTACTAATACCTATATTTCGTAGTTTCACCGGTGGAATAGAACGTAGTTTGAATGCCACTGTGCTAACATATATGGTGCACGATTTTGGTTGGGGCCCGCTAACTCTTTTTTATCTCACATATCAAAGATTTCAATAGCTAATAACCTACTCATCCAATCGTTTCTCCCTGGATTTCCTGTTTCAATCTCAGTCACCACTACTGCAGTTAACCGTTGTTCACTCATTGTCGCACTCAAATTTTTAAAAATTAATTTTCTTTTTTAACTTAAATTAATGATATTTATACGGTTGCTAGCCAATTGAAAACACCTGCAAATTATTATTTTGCATTCAGCCCAAACTACTGCAGAATAGGTTTACTTTTTTTATTGTTCAGATTCTACTGGGCAAGCTTTAAACCTTCTCTGGACAACTTGGACCATTCTTCAAAATATCGTACGTAAATTGGTTCAGTATTTTCGGGCATTAATCATTACAGAAAAAAATATATAAAACAAATAGCTGTTCTACCCAGCATTTCCGTGTAACCTAAGTAATCCATAAACCAACATAAAAAAGCATGCTATTCGTAAAATGATTCAATGTACGTAGAACATGATATTTATATCGTTTTTTTAAATTTTATGTTGGATAGAAGTGTCTTAAAAATAATGAAACATAGCCTGGCAGTCAGTAGATCTTGAAGAATATGTTGACGTAATAACTTTTACGAAAATCGATTCACTAGTTCTCGAGATTGCCTCCACCAAACATCTGAATGCCCAAGTCTTTAAATATTAGTATAGATAAAATTATTTGACTTCGATATTATTCTCATTTAAAGTTAATAAATATATTTAAATTATAAAATTTAAGAAATAAGGGATATACGGGATGAATGATTTAAAATACAGGACAAAATTGTTATTTAGAACATTTAATCGAGATATCGGGACGCTTGATTCAGTTACGGAACGTATGGGGTAGAAAGCAAATAAGGGTGGTAGTTCCTCTGACCTCTGTATTTTTGCCAAAATCCCTCAAAAGAAAATTGTAAATACTCCACTAGTAATGGTGGCACTTTTATAATTTCAAATTACAGAATAATCCCATTTTTTTAGTAAATATATCTTCAAATTTATTACAAAATAAATAAATGAACAGTAATATTATTATTTATTATAATATATTACATAGGTATAATCACGATATTTTAAAATAAAATACTCAAAAAAAAAAAAAATGCAATGTACCATTAATTATGAATTATATTGAGTAGGAACCTATAATATTATAATGTTTTATAAAATATTTTAGTACGATTTTCAAACATAAACAAATACACTATATAGTTTTAATATTCATATTGAATTTAACACTCCTAGTTTATAACATTTTATTTTGACGATTCAAAAATATTATTTATAAAACGCATAGTAATATTATTGTGTAGGTGTACAGTGTACATCCTGCAGTGGCACATCGTAGACGTTTATTTTTAAAGCACGTGATAAATCCTAAACGATACATACACACTGACATAGGCATTAAGAAAACCAAGCGAAGATCATCAGCCTTAACATTTGAGGAACGTTCTTCAAATTAAGTCCTCTGTAACTCCCCTGTAACTTGTTCGTACCAATAACGTGATTTCACTATAGTAAACATTCTTATTGTATTTTGATAAAACCTAAAACGTTCGTGACGAAAAAGTTAGGTGGGTTACACCAGCGGTTCTCAAATTTTTTCGTTCACAGAGTTATGTTCCTAAACAAATTTACGGAGTCCCAAAAATTAGGAATGTCTATTTGAAATAACAAAAATTCATACAATATAATGTAAATTGTAAATGGTTTGCTTTTAAATTTTTTTTTTTTTTTTTAAACACGAATGTATACAGTATAATCGTTACATCATTCCCTGGTTACTAGTGTTGCAGCCTTATGAATAATAGATTAATATTTATTTAAAACCGAAATTGTTTAAATAATATATATAGTATTGCGATCAAATGTTTAGCAAAGTTTTTAATAAAATTAATAAAACAGTAGGTAAATGGATAAGTAAAAAATAACATTTATGTATATATATATATACATATAATGTATCGATGGGAATGTAGGCCACAGATATTTTATTAGAACGAGTCAGGTTAACTTTATAATGTATAAGAATTATTAATAATAATGTTATTAGTAAAACAGTAACTATAGTAACAAAAGTTGTTATATGGATAGTTTACAAACGGGCAATCGGAAATTCAAGAAAAAAATAATGATTTTATATTTTTAATAAATATGTGTAAAACACTGAAATGTTATTTGATAACGTAATAATAATAGAATGTTAAATCGTGTAATAAACGAGTAATATAAAACGGATACCTACCTGTAAAATATCGAAACATTCGCTGCCCTGGTAATTGGTATACACGAGTATATACAGTCAGAACAAAAATTTAAATTTAGTTAAACTATTTTTTCCACAGTACCTACATGTAATAAACGAAAATATTAATTTATGGAAAAGGCTTTTTAAACTTTTATACGAATCGTCCGTGAGTGAAACATTTATGTCACGCATTTATATTAAACTAGACGCATGTTTTATGCCAGTCACATAATGGGTTATAGCGAACATTAAAATGTTTAAAATGTCTAATGCTAATCCGAAATTATGCAAATCTTTACGGCGAAAACTTCTTTAAATACGAATTTCAATGAAACCAAACATTTTAACCTAAGTTTTATTTTATTTAGTGACTTGTTGATAAAATATATCATAATATGTTCCTTATTAATTTATAATGCGATGGCATCGGTGTTGTTTATATTTAAATCCAAAAATCTTAAATTACTTTATCACTTACCTTGTTTACGAGTAATTCAATGATATGTAATCAACTAGATGTGGTTGTTATCTCATTTATTTTATGTTGATTACTAGGGCTAGGATTTATAGGCAATAAAAAATGATAAAAAATGCATTTGGTTTATTAAAAATAAGCAATTGAATTATACAAAAATATACCAATAAAAATATTATTAAATGAAAAAAAAAATAATAATTTTTACAAAGTTCTAAAATTTAAAAAAAAAAAAGTTCTATTATTATTAACGCTATTCAAATGCATTACATAAAACGATTATACATTTTCAAATATTCAAAAATGAAATTCCGTTCAACATAACGTAATTTTTGCGTATTTAAATTATGTTATTTCCCCAGGAGTTAGATTTGGGGAAGAATTATAGTCCTATATTATTTTCTAACACATTTTTTAATTTTTCGTTGACCTTTTCAGAGCATTGCTTTGTTTTGGTAAAGTTTGAATTTGGTGTTTTCAACGATTACTAAACCCTCGTCGAGTAAAAGTGAGGCATTTTCTAATTTTAAAATAGATACACCAAACACGTAAAACTGTCAAACACATATCTACTAACTTTTCGACACATACTTTTATCCAATAAACTTATTAATCGTACAATATAAAACCTTCAATAAGATAAGACAAATTAAATTGCCTTTTGGGTGTTTTTGTGTAGTGATAAAATATCATGTAATAATATATACTATAAAACATCCATTTTTTGCGTTTTTATAACTGAAATATGTAATAATATCCATTGTATCCAATATCTAAAAACATATACATTTTATTTAAAATATGCGAAAAAAAAACATGAGCTAACTGAGAAAACCAGTAATCAAAAGTTGCAAAAAAGGAAATACCAATGCATAAAAATCATAGCCCTAGTGATAACATTAAATATAATATATTTATTTTCCTAATTATTTTCATTTCATGTAACATTCACGTCTCTTTCATTACATTTCGTTATATCGATATTTATTATGTAGCAGGGACATCTTCGTTCCAAAAAATTATTATAAAAAAAAGCCGGGCAACATCGTATTTGGGTGGGTTACTGTTGTTGGTGAGAAGTTGAGAATGTAGTAATAAAAG